CAGTTGTAGGTGCTTATTGTAAATGCAGATGGTTTCTTCTTGAAATTCCTTTTCAGGGCAGTAAAGCTAGTTTTTAACCTCTCATATTTGAGTGTAATTCAGTAAGAGTAACAGTGCCTTGCTCACTGGCATTTGTTGAGTCTCATGGTTTCTCTTGATACAGAAATTATAAATCTCTTAAAAAGAAATATAAGCATGGGAAAGAAGATATGCTATAAATACCTTGCAGCATATAAAGAAATGTTTGTTGAGCTCAGTGGGGATGTATTGTTAGCAATAATCAGCAGTTGACTAAGCCCAGAAGTAGCTTCTCTCTGAAACAAAGATTGCAAGTGTTTGGTGGCATTTGTTTGTGGGGCTAAGCCACTTTTCCAAAATATTTGCATTCATTCATATAATGTCAAGAAGAAAAATACTTCCAGGTACCTCTTAATAACTACTGAAGCGCTAGAAAGCAGTCTGGACTTTGGAATGATTTAAAAAATGAAGCAGGGTGGAGAGGGCAGAGAGAGGCAAGATAACCAGATGATGTTGACTTACATTTTGACACTGAGGGTAGCAGCCAGCAGATCAGGAGAGAAAAAAAAGTGTAAGTTATCCCTAACATTTGCTAGAATAGCATTCTATAAATTGTTATGGGGCAAAGGATGTAGGTTGCACTTGAGTCTTCTACCCAGCTCCAACATGATCTCAGATAATCTGCTTGACTACACTGCATCTCATTCCCTCCTGTAGTTTCTTGCTTCACAGTGACAGCTAGGTTTAATTTACTAACTGTATGTATAGTGCCTGCACTTTTTTTGAGGAAATAGCATAAATAACCACAAACTACTGTGACCATCGCATCTGTAACTGTGTAAATTGAACAAGGGAGTAGACTTGTTATTATGAGACTTGTGCTTTTCATGTCTGTAAACCAGAGCGCTGAATGCAAAAGTAACAGGAACATATGCGAGACTTGCAGTGTTCGCTGAGGGATATTTACTCCATAAGCCAGTGAACAAAGCAGAAGGAATAAATCACAACTAGGACACTCTAATCAGCGACTAATAGAATGCTGTTCCACTATGTCGTCCCACCAGGAAAACCTGTACTGACCTCTTTCCAGCCAGGAATTTGAAATTTCTGAGGGCACAGAACAACTCTGAGAATTTAACAGCTTTCCCACACACACACACCCCCCTATGGTACAAAGAAAACACATGCAGTATCTTTACTCTGATACCCATAAACCCATGTATATATATATAAACCAGCACATATGTAACACACTAAAAAAGAATTTCTTCTTTTCTCAGAATTTTTTAATTTGTGATCATTAAACAACTCTGAAAATGGGATTTTTATATAGCTGATTGCAGTAATTGCACAAGAAGTGAAGAGAAGAAATATACCAAGAACTATACAGTTATCAGTGATGTTTGGAAGATAGTGTTGAAATTGGAGAGTCATTCTAAAAGACAGTTAGACTTTGCCACCTCCCATCAGAAGATCTCACGTCACGGAGGTGAGAAGAGGGAGTCAGAGACTGGTACCAAAGGCAAAGCAGAAAGACTAGAACAGGGAAAAGATCTGGTTTAAATATTACAGTAGTAAGGTAGTCTTAAAATAGATTTTGGATAGACAAGAGACGTGCAAGAGGAGTGGGTGTAGTAACACAGAAAAGAAAAAAAGAGCTAATTACTAAATTTCTTCAAACATACATCTGCCATGCCAAATTCAGCCACTTTTCTCTGAATTTTCTGGCATCTGAAATAAATGTTGATACTCTGGCTTCTCCCATTTAATATTGCCTGTCTCCCTAAATACCATCTAAACACATCTTCCTGCTTTGTTCTTCATTTTTCCTCTTCTCTTAAGATATTTGTGACAGATTTCCACCTCTTTCAGGTGAAAAACATTCTGACAGAACGTCATACATACATATGGGTAACTGCTGACTTTGGGGTTTTGTGGATATTAAGATTTACAATTCCTTAATGTCAGCTTTGACTTCAAATTTGCTTAGGAGCTCTGTGCTTCTCAGGAAAATTAATCTTTATTATTTACCACAGGGTTCAGCATTAAAGCACATATTATTTAATTCTATAATTTTATTACTTTCATGCACATATGCTGATTTTGTGTCAAAATGATTCCTTTGAAATCAGGAAAATACGTTGTAACTTCCATCTTTCTTTAAAAAAAAGAGGTAGAAAGGGGTTACATGTATTTACTATGCCAAAGTGGGATATCAATGCAGTACTGTACACAGAAATTTGAATTAACATAATTGCTGGGATATAGCTACATTATTTCTGGTATACTTTAAGGCGTTGCATTTAGTTCTGTCATCTGATGCTTCAGCAAATGCTCTGAACTCATCAAGTGGCTGATGGATGTGTTTGTAAAGGCTTGGATGGTCACTTTATACGCAACGATAAACTCGCTGTTGTACTTAATGAGGTCAGTGAAGCAACCAGAAAAGAAATGTATAATTCTGTAGCATGGGTCTGTAAGCATGGTACTGCCTAGGCTTTTTAAGTTTAATGAAGCAGCTACTCAGCCTCTGAATATTCTTGTTGAACAGTCTCAGCATGGATTCTAAAACTAAAATGTTGCTGATACCATGGTCTCCTTGGAGAGTCCGTGGCTCTTATTCTCTTAAAAAGCCTGCATCTTTTATGTGTTAATGGTTTTGAAATCAGCCATTTGCTTCATTTTCATTGTAAATAAGGGCCAGAGTCTGATTTTCTTCCCCATTCTCTGAACACTCTATCCCCTGTAAGCTGTCTCATCAGCCTCCAGTTCGCTCTCTGGGGTATGCATGGTCTGAAAATAGCTGAAATAATCTTGTAAAACAAACACTTTGCCAAGCATTTTCCTATTTCAGATCCCTTTCTAAGAATATAAGTCCCTACGTGAAAACTTGCATGGTAAAGTGGTCCAGCACCCCCATCACATCCTCACGTGCTACAAAGTCTTACTGCCAAAGATGTCATTCAGGAGACTTCAGAAAGTTAGCACTGCCATTTGCTCAAATCTAATGAGATCAAATTACAAGATTTCTTTTAAAACCCAGAGAAATACCTCTGTTTAAAAGAGTGGATTAATGTTTAATTTTTAAAGACTGTGTTTCCTGTGAGGTACTGGTACTACACAAGTAACAGCAGTGTCCGATGCAAAACACTTTTTTTGAGGGTTAAATGCAGTGCAGAAAAACATGCCTGATTTCAAGATGTGAATATCATAGTAGTAACCTGTAGCATTTACATATGACTGTAGCCAAGTGTCTCAAGGCATGCTAGGAAGTCTTTCCCCCCTTTTGCAGAGGGATTAATCCATCCTGTACGTATGCTGTCGGTGACCGACCTGGAGAGCAAGCCAGCAGGCACATAGCCTGGTGTTCTGCCTGTTGAACCACGCAGCCTCCTCTCACCAACAAGCATACTCAGCAAGGAGCATCGTACGAAGGTATCAGGAATTTTAGTTCCCAGGCTCTTTGTTACCAGCATAATCCTTGCTTTGCAGTTACCATGGTTGAAAGCATCATACAAAATACACTCTAAGTGGTGGGAGAAAGAGCGAAGCAGAGAAGACAGGCAGAGGCAAGCTGTGATTTCTACCTCACCTTGTGGCATAAGTTATTACTGCACACAGGGTGTTATTAAGCAGGTCTGTGTGACAAAAGCCCTGCACAGGATTATTTACCGGGTCCATGCTCTGCCATGGGTTGGTGATGGAAGGCACTTTGCAGAAGTGGAGTGTTTTCACGGGGGATTTGGAGCTGATAGGCCACTTTCTCCTCCGATACATAACTTTCCCTGTTGGTGGACAGGGGCAGCCTTTCAGTTTAAAAGCACACAAGGTGAAGATTGTATGTTCCTTTGCAGCATTGGGGGGACACACGAGACAAAAAGGTTCAGTCTTTCCATTTATCACTCGTGACTTTAGGAGTCTGCAGAGAAAAAAAGCAGTGCAGAGCCCCAGCTTGCTGTTTCTGAGATGTACAGACTGTTTTTCCGCGACACATAACGTTGTAAGCTTCCTCTCCCTGCTGAGCGGGTTTCGGAGGGCTGGGGCGGGGAAGGGGGGGATGTTTTTCCTCCCGCCTGGTATTGATCAGTGCGGTGGAGTTGCAGACAGGGAGGGATGTGCCCCTTCCCCCCGCCCCACCGCCCTGTCCTCCCTCCTCCCTAGATGGGG